AAAAACCAAGTTTCTCTTTGTATCTACAATAATTATGCGGTCAATGGATATCTCAATCAAATTAAAATCCACACCACCTTGCTCTAAATAAGTTAAATATGATAACGCTAGTGATGAAGACGATTCCTCATATGTAAAGACAAATTCTATTTAATCGAAAATATGAAGACCAAGGTAGTGTGGTCTTTAGTATGTTCCCACAGGTCGTTGTGAGAACATATAAAATGTGGTGAATAGCAAGTAATTTCATTTACTTGAGTGGTAACTTGAAATTTTTAGAATGGTGAAATTCAGCCCTGAAGATAACTGTCATATGAAAGAAAAAGGTTCTGTCGGATTTCAACGGAGCCCAATGACTGTGAGTGTGAGTCAACCTGCGCTTGATGAAATTGGTAAACGGCAGAAGTGAAAGAGATATGCTCATTATATGATGAGAAGCTGGGTTTCGAAGAATCCCTTAGTTGATTCATACTAGCCTACCTTTTAATTTCGTCTCAGAAGGCGGGTCGAAGAGACTCGTAGATTGGTCTCACCTGATACCGCAGAAGGGTTGCATTGTACTTTTGTTCGTAGAATTGTGCAAAGAAGGCATCGGCTTACCATCTTACGACCTTGATGACTCAGTGCTGAGCTTTCGTTCGTCAGAAACCATTATTAACGAAAAGATCACCAATAAAACACTAAACCAAGAAAAGTGGCCAGCTTAGCTCCTATTTACTTTTTACAAATCACTTTGCGACCTTCCTTGATTTGTTGGCTTGACCTTGGACTAGGTACATTCCACAAGGTCTCACTGACGCTGCAACCAAGTTGCGGAAACAAGGTTGAACCAATACGATAATGCTAAAAGAGACTGTGACCATCTTGGTCTTCATATATACGATTCTATGATTTGGTTGGCTGTTTTATACTTATTTTCGTATTAGAGTAGAGTTTCGAGACTACCAGTAAATCAGTAATATGAAATATATTCACCCTATTTCGTCTAAGGTGATGAAGGACTGGTAGTAAAATTTTCCCACAATGATATAAGTTGAG